TGCAAATAGATGGTCTAGCTAGGCAAGGGGTGAACAAAAACTCTATGTTTTGGCTGTGTTGTAATTGCTTTTTAATTTGGGTGTACCTTGGTTGTTTCTGGGAGTTAAGATTGTTTAGCTCTCTTGCTTTGTAACTTTTTATTCCATTAATAAAATTCACTGTTATCGATCCAAAAAACAACACTACCATACCACAGACACTCCCTAGGTTTATTGAAGATATGGACTTGGACACAAAGCCCATAAGCATTGTGGACTATCAATGGATTCATAGGGGCAATCAAGTCATACTGGAGGCAAGATCCATCTCAAGTGGGGAGGATCTATTGGGAGTAGCTTGACCCATGCAAACCTTCAATCGAACGAAGAGGACCACTAGCGCCACATTAGCAAATCCCCTTCAGTCGAATAAAGAGGACCACTACCAATGCGTCTCAAGTTCAAAGCACGGAGAGGGCTACCTAGAGCAGAGTGAAAGCTACCTCAAAAAGGACTACTTGGAGTAGAGTGAAAGTCACTAGAAGGAAAGGGCTACCTACCACTAGAGTGTGAACCGTCATGCAAAGGACTACTTGCTACTGGAGTGAGAGATGCCTAGAGTGAAGTCACTAGATGTCAATTGCGGAAATGTGGTGGTATGATACAGTCCTAAATGTTAAAGTGTTTAGCCTAACGCGTTCCATCAATATTAAGGCTTTTGGTGTATTGATCAAGCACAACAATATGGATCTTACTCTTTTATTTTTTGAAAAGATAAAAATGTCATTTAGTAATAAAAGAAGTAGAAAAATGAGATAATATACGTAAATATATATAACCCAGCCTCTCAAGAAAACCATCTCGGTAAAGTGTCGTTGTTATACAAATTAGCCCTCCCAAACCCAAAATTTACAAGCCCAACAACTATAGAATTGTTGGAATCCATTATTTTTTACCTGAAGCATCACTAATAAATTCTCATTTCATTTAGGAAGTTAGTAATCTCCATTTCCATTGATTGCATCCAACAACCATATTCCATCTTATTTCATCGGTCCTTTTATAGCCAAAGAGAATAATTGAGTTGCACTCATTTTGCTACATGGACTCTCATAAGTGGATGAAGTGTCCATGTTAGATACATCATGTTTTGACACTCTAATCGATTCCTAGTACACACTTCAACATAATATTTTCATTTATCTACTTGATTATTTGACATCAATGAATAGTGAGTATATACAATGAGTCCTTGTGTCTTGTGTGTACTTTTCTATAGAGATGTATTCACAATGATTTAAAAGGCATGCCTAGGCACACAAGTGAGGCATGCATTTTTGGGTTTGAACCTCACCTAGGTCTAAGGCGTAGCACTTTCAAAAGGTTTGTGCCTGGTGTGCCTTGCGCTTCAGCCCAGGCACGCACCTTTTGAAAATGTGTGCATTCATTTATCCTAATAAAAGATATTTCTAAAAAAGAAAGGCAAGGAACCCTCAAATCATCAGCTCCATCTCTAGTCTTCTTCATTGGCTCAAAAGAAAGGCAAGGAAGCCTCGAATTCATAGCAACCTCTTGAGACAAAAACCCAACTTCAACCACCCTTGGCTGACCACTAAAAGGTCCCACGGAACTTACCATTAGCTTACAAGAATCTAAAGATTGAACAAAGAAAAACTCATTGAGGTTTGTATCCTTCAATTTCTCTTTCAATTGGTAAGAGCTCACGTACGTGGAAATCACCCAAATCCACTCTGAACCCCTTCTCTTTCGACCAACAAATGGACCATTTCTTCTCCTCAATATCTCTATTTTCTTAAATCAGCAAAGGACTTGGCCCCCAAACCTCTTCTAAAAGAACTTCTTTCCTCAACTACTTGAAGGCTGCCTTGGTACTCATAATTCCTCCTTAAGAGAGTGGTCCCCAGTCCCCACTCAGCCTTCTAGGCCCTTTGAAAAAAGGAGAAAAATGTCCACCTCCCTCTCCCATTAAACTCTTCAGCCTCTCCCCTCTCCTCAAAATCTTAACCATATGACCACCATCAAATAAAATTATCTCATCTCCTTTCAAAATTACCTTCTTGCCCCCATTGATCTTCCAATTCCATTGTCTTCAAACTTTGGATGACCCTTCGCCTTCCCATCAAACAACTCACCGCAAGAGAGGGCCCCATCCGTTTAAGCCTTCATTTCTCTTTTCGAAAGTCCAAGCAGCACACGGAAGCAATGGAGATCTTTGCTGCCCTCGAAAACGCCTAGTCTTCCCCTTCTATAAACAAGCATAAGTCGTAAGTTTCCCCTGTCAAAAGTAACGCCAAGGAGATTGGAATTTCGTCTACTTCTTCCATTTCCACTACGATTCTTGCAAAATCAATCTTCTTCCAACTTCAATTTGTATTATCAAAGCTTAGAAACTTTTCACACCTATCTTCGATCTTTTTGAATGACGATGAACCCTAAGCATGCAAGGGAATACCCACCACACCTATCCACACCACTCTTTTCTCCTTCCATTAAAAATCACACCTACCGTTTGGAACCACTAACCTAATCTCAAATCAAACTCCATTTTCTACCTTTCTGAATCCAACACCCATTATGCATCATCCCTAGTCTGAAACATAAACAAAAGAAGACCCTACCAAATCTCTGACACCCACAACTCTTTCTTCACCCCATTCAAGCTTTGCCCATGCTTCAATCGACTCCTTCAATTCGCATCCAGAAAACCTACGAATGAGACAAGCATTCAAGAGTTGTTTCAACCTCTCGTTCAAATCCTCTACTTGCTTCGCCTCAATCTGAAGCCTTAACCTCTCGAACCTCTCAGCACTCATCTCCAATGGGAAGCAATGTGGCCTTTTTTTGCACTTATGGCATTATACATTTGAATAATAGTTTTCTCATGTGGTAGTAACAACAAATACAGTCTTGACCTCTCATTTTCTTTCTAGAGTAGCCTTAGTGATTTCAGTCTCTTCCTGAAGTAGTTCTCCAAGAACTGGATTCATACAGAAGTGTCACCCCATTTATAATGCTAGCTAACTTTCACCGGTTCATATTCAGTTTGCAATTTCATAAGAAAATGCATAACCTTTCTGTAATTGTTTACTTTTTTATGAATAGCTTTACTTTACTAAAAAAAGTAAAATATTAGTAGTATTTACAATGAAAACCCCTCTGTCAAGGCTGGTGAAGCCCTTCTCCCCACCCTTTTTTCCTACTCCCTAGCCTGATATCAACACAAATTCCCAAAAACATCAACTCCCTACCATCACCCTGCCATGCCAATACATCAGACATGTTGTTGGCTGATTTATGCAACCATTTATAGGCTATAACTCTATCCCTCCCCAGTTCCTCTTTCATCATGTTTCGATACTCCAAAGGAAACTGTCATTTGCACCCCAACCAGCGCACAATATCCTTGAGTTACCTTTCTATCATTGTTGATTTTCCAAAACTTCTCATTGAAGGAAAATCATCCATATAGTACATTATCTCCGATTACGTCCAAATAGAAATAAAACCAGCATAATACTCAGTAATTTTCCGTTCTCTTTGCAAATAATGAAGGTATCATGCTCTATTTGAAATGGTATATACTCCAACCTTTGAGTCACCTTCTACAACATACTCCAACATTTCGAGCTATATCTTTTTTTTTTATCAGCAACATAAACATTGATTCATTAAATTAAATTGGAGATATACGACAAGAAGTTGTGGGCAGAAACAACAAGGCCAAGAAGAAGACCATTCCAATATTTACAAATAAGCCTAGAACATGGATTGTCTCTGAATTACTTGTTTAGCTAAACCATCAGCCATACTGTTTGCAGATCTCCTAATTTAATTTATCTGGATCAGCATTTCTTTAGATAGCTGTTTGAAGTGCCTAAACTCATTCCTTAGCTGCCATATTACCCCTTCCCCCTTTTTCAGACAACCCATAACTATTTTCGAGTCACCTTCAATGATCAGCCTATCAATGCCCATTTCTTTACCTTTCTCTACTCCATAAACAGCTGCCATCAGTTCTGATCTCACCACATCTCCATGCTGAACAGGACCTTAGTACATGGCTAGAATGTTTCCATCTTCTTCCCTGATTACCCCACCAATACCCAATGGGCCAGGATTGCCCATGCAGCTACCATCAAAGTTCAATTTCTTCCACCCAGCACATGGAGGTGACCAGGCCTCATGTACCTTTTGTCTTTTGGAGGAAGAGTCAGCAATTAGTCCCTACAAGCTCAAAAAAAAATCTTCAACCTTAAAGTCAATAAAGAGATTTATAGTTTTCACCCAATGTGCCACCCTTAAGGCTATAACCTCTATCACAGCTTCCTTGCCCCTTTCTTTGTCTTCAAAGATTCTTAAGTTCCTTTCTTCCCAAATTGTCCAAACCACTGCTGCTCTGATGCATCACATTTCAAGCTACATCTTTTTGTTGGTACGCCCACTCCATGTAATCCCACATTGCTTTTAAAGATTGAAAGACATGAAGTTGATATACCACGGTTGTGTCCATAGAGCCCAACAGCCAAGAGACAAATTTAGCATTATCCACTTCCCACTGCACAAGATCTTCAGCGAACTTATCATCTGGTTTCAGTTTGGAACCTCCACACACTATAGTTGGTTCCATCAAAATGTGCAGATATGAAATCTGACTTAACTGATGCCATCATGGTGAGAATAATCAAAACACACTAGATATCAAGCAGAATGAAAATCCAAGAAAAAACAATAGTGAGCACTGAAAAATAGAGTGATAGATGGTCCTCTGTCAGACCCCATAAGATCTAGGGGAACCAACCAGAAAGGCTTCAAGAAACCAAAAAAAGAAGACCAGGAATCTAAGATTTCGTGACCAGACTTTAAATAGACAAGAAGAAAGGAGAAATACCATATCTGCACCTCAGTTTTTCCAGATTTCAGCCAAGGCAAACAATGAGAATTTCACCTCTCAGATGGTCCAGAAACTTGCAGAAAAATGAGCATTTAGATTCTTAAAATACCTCGGATTGAACTATTAGAAGATTCCTCAAGTCCCCTTGAGCTTGTAGAGTTAAGTTGAAGAGAATTCCATAAATCTCTAGACAAAGAATCCCTTCCAATCAACCTACGATCTTCAGCATTGAGAGATAAATTGGCACCCCATTCTGATGCCATGATAGTGGAGGAGATCAGAACTCCCAAGGGTTTTTCCATGCCGTTCATAAGAGAGCAAAAAGACACATAGATTATAGAGTGTATCAAATGAATCTTAGCCCTTAAAGAATATCTTTTAGCAAGAGGGAAACAAGTACTTACAATTGCAAAGCTACCCCTGGGCAATACAAATAGAAAAGAGTGCAACAAACCTATAGTAACACAATAGGACGGAAACTAAAAAACAGAATTAAATCAATCCCTCTGTCTACAAGCAACTGCTATCTAGCTCATGCATTGCCTATTACAAACAATCAATGGGAGGTGACACCCATTTTCTGATTTCTGAACACTCTTTGTTTGGATAGTGCATCAGACAAACCCCATTTTCTGATCTCTAAACCCATGTGAAAGTTGCACCTATTTCCCTTTCCAACTGTCCAGCATTATTTATAACATGTCTATTGCCAGGAAGCTAAACTATTACCCTTGAACCAGCCCCACAACAACGATGGGAGCCCCCTTCCACCACTACATTTCTGTAGTTAAGATACTAGGTTTCGGTCCCTGCAACACTGCCACCAGCCTGCCTCTCATTCATTCGCATTGACCTATTGGTAGATTTTTCTCCTTCCATCCTGCATTACCTCATATCTTATCAAATTAATTGATAGCATCAAACTTATTCAAATCGACCCTAGCCAAACTCATTAAATGAATTTTTCAAACTCTAAGCAGTTAACCTGAGTACCAGATCTCTTGCTCAGTGGACAGTGTTTTAATTATTTGATAGCGATCATTGACGATTTTGCCATTTTTTTGATAAATGAAGATGATTTTATTAATGAACAGATCAAGAGGTTAAAACATTACAGGCTACTCATGGAGAGGCATAAGCTGTTAACTCTCCTAACAAAGTATTACATCAAACTAAAACAAAAAATTACAGGGCTGCCCAAAATAATTGTTCCCTTGGAGACCCTTGCTTAGCTAACCCATCCGCTAAGGTATTTGCTGTTCTGCCCACCCAAAGTGAGGTAATAGTCATACTCCTTGAACACCAATTAACTTTCCTCAAAAGGTCCCTGTATCACCATATAACTGAGCTTGGATTTGCCAACCATCTCACAACAACTTTGGAGCCTCCTTCAATTACCAGATTATGAACTTCTAGTTGGTCTGCAATCTGAATACCTTGTACAGCTGCTAATAACTCAGCTCCGTTAGAGTCTCCTATTCCCACGGGACCTGAAAACAAGGATAAAATGCTGTCGCCATTATCTCTCAGCACCCCTCCTATCCCCAAAGGGCTTGGATTGCCTTGGCTACTACCATCAAAGTTCAACTTAACCCAACCTTCAGGAGGCACCCACGCTGCTGGTATCCTGTCATTCCTGGTATGACTGTTAGCCACAACTATCCAGTTTCTCCAAATATCGTCAAAAGAAAAGATGTGAAAGGAGTCCAGAGTTCTCAACCAGTGTATCGCCCTAGTCAAAATGCATTCCTCTACAGCCTGAATGCTTCTTTCCTTCTCTTGAAATAACCTCGCATTTCTTTCTTCCCAAATTGTCCACAAGGCTGCTGCTCTAATACATCTCCACATAGTTCTACCTTTTTTGTAGGCCACACAAAAAAGGAAGGACCAAATAGTTGACTTACTTCTATGGGCAGATTCCACCTGCACCCAAACAAAGCAAAGATCCAACCTCAAATAGCAACAAAAAAAGAATAGGATAAAGTGAGAGCAATCCTCACCACTAGCCTTGCAAAGTAGTCACCAATTACAGGACAAACACATGAAAGGCCTTCTCTTCTGCAAGCAATCCAAGGTATTGACCTTTTTATAAAACACTTCCCAATAGAAAATAATAATTTTATGTGCAACAGGTCTAGACTCTAGACAATATCTCCTTAGCCAGAAAACCCAACTATCCCAGGGAAGACCAAAGGCTCTTAAAAAAGGAGGCATAAGTGAAGGAACCTTTTGGATGAGGGGACCATAATCTCACATCCGATCTAAGAGGGTCCAAAAAAACACTGCCAAGAAGCAACAAGAGAGCTGAAACACAAATAAGTTCATGATCCCTCAATCCCCTATAAAATCCAAAGTCCTAGCTCAAGGAGGAAGGTGAGACAGGTGTTGGAAGAAAATGAGAGATAGCTTTTTCCTTGTAGAGGGAAAGGGAATAGAGGGATGGAAAACGATCCTTAAGAGTAGAGATACCCACCCAAATGTCTTCCCAAAACAAAACAGAATTACCAAAGCAGACATCATACCTGACAAAATTGAGGAATTGAGGGAGGACACTCGGAATTTCTTTCTAAGGAATTCCCAACATAGCTCAACGCAATACACCAACATCCCATCCATTTTCCAATCTGCCATGTATGCTAGCTATCACTTCATGCAACAGCCTCTTCCTTTCTATGGGCCACCTCCACAGCCATTTTCCTAAGAGAGCTTTGTTCCTTTTTTTTTTAATTTCCTGTCCTTTTGCTAACTTCATTTGGGAGTGGTTTTCCTCTCAGTTTGGCTGCAGCTGGACTCCCGTTAATTTGGATGGATTCTTTAGTTCTCATTCTTTCTGGTGCTCTAAAAGAAAAGGAAGAATCATGGGAAGGTGCACTAGAGCAGCAGTGGTCTGGACAATTTGGGAAGAAAGAAACCTAAGGATTTTTTTATGACAAGGAAAGAAGCAAAGAAACTGTGATCGAAGTGGTAACTCTAAGGGTGGCACATTGGGTGAAAACATTAAAGTATTTTGCTGACTTTAAGACAGAAGGTTTTTTCATATCCTGGGGAACAATTGCTAACACTACTTCTAGAAAACCTAAAACAAATGAGGTTTGGTCCCCTCCTACGGCTGGATGGAGGAAATTAAACTTTGATGATAGCTATATGGGAAATCCTGGCCCATTGGGTATTGGTGGGGTGATAAGGGAAGAGAATGGGAATATTTTAGCCATGTACTCAGGTCCTATTCAGCATGGTGGTGTGGTGAGATCAGAACTGATTGCAGCAGTGTATGGTGTTAAAAAGCCAAAGAAATGGAGATTAACAGGCTGATTATTGAATGGGACTCAAAGATTGTTGTAAACTGGCTAAAAAGGGGGAAGGAGTAATATGGAAGCTAAGAAATGAACTGAGGCGCTTCAAGCAGATATCCAAAGACATGTTTATACAAATTAGATGGGTTAGGAGATCAGCTAACAGTATGGCTGATGGACTAGCTAAACAAGGGATTCAAAGACAATCTATATTCTGGGCTGGTTTGTAATTAGTGGTTTTTTCTTTCGGGCCTCTCCTTCTGCCATAACTTCTTGTTATATATGCTTTTTTTATTTAATCAATTAATAAATTCTGAGTTGCTGATAAAAAAAAAGAACTAACTTTCCTAAACCAGTCCACCTTCCTCTTTACTCCTACAAACTATTTCCCAATTAATTTGATGATCCTTTTCTCCTCCCCCGGCTCCCAAAGAAAATTTCTCATTAATCTCTCCAACTTCTTAGCCTCCCTAAATTGAGGATTTTGTCATTCACAACTTCATTGCCTGACCTATAGCTACTTCTCTATCAGTTGGCATATGCCACTACTGCCTCCTGTACATGGGTTCTTCGTGTGTATTTAATGTGTAATTCACTTATCCTAGACATTAGCTAGACTCGTGTCCAGCATCAACCATCAATAGTAATTCTACAAAACAAGTCTCCAATTGACAGCCCACCAGTGAGAATTGCAGGTCAACTATGTTTCCTAGTGTCAACCCAATCAACAGATCTCAATTGACTACTAGCTTGGAATGGTCTGAGATGAGTTCTCAACTATTCCCTAATTGAAGTTACCAACAGCAGATAATGGAGGTGCCAGAGACACCTTATTTCCCTTGAATGTGTGAATCTAAACTCATAGACTATCAAAATGACAATTCTTGTTTTAGCTGATGGAATCAAGATTGCTTTACTCTCCTAAGGCCCAGGAATATAAATGTACAATAGAATTCCCCACACCTTTAAAAGGTTCAACTTCAAGAAATTTCATTCCTAAAAAATTTATATCATAGCTAAGCCCACACTGCCAAAATTTCCTTGCTTCAAATTTTAAGATTTCACATGAGGAATTTCAGCATATCATTATATCTAAACCTTTCCAAGCCCAATTGTTAACAAGAAAAATTAAATCACAAAACATGCACTTCAATCCACACATGCAGTAAGAAGGTATGCTCTTATCCTTGTAGAAATCAGATCACATGTGCAGAGACCTACGAAATGAAGCCTATAAAAATATTAAAAAAATACAAAAGAAAATACCCTACCTTTATTTTCCCATGTACCCCACCCCTAAGGAAGAACTGAAGAAACCAGAACCCCCAGATTCTATAAAATTCCACCCTTACAGATGACCACAGCGCATCCTCCATCATTCATGTCTCAATTTTGAATGAAGATAGATATTATAGTAAGGACTAAAGCAGAACCGGCTATTGCAGTTAGAAGAACCTGGTTCTACTTCAACTGCTTTGTTTGCATCTTGAAAGCACAGATTCAAAACTAAGGTAGTTAAGAAGAACTTGAAACCTTGTGGAGAGACAAGAGAATTAAAAAAACAAAACAAAAGTCTTAACTAATAGAGGTACTAGAGGTACTCTAAGTCTTAACTAGGAAGAGGTTTTTTTTCTTTTCTTGAGAAAAGGTAACTTTCATTTCAAAAGGAAAAGGGAAAGACGTAAATGAGATGTAAAAAGGAACAGGCAACAACTTCATTAATATAAACAGAAAATATGTACACAATAGGGTCCCAAGGAGAGGTAGAAGATCTACCTTTCGACAATACAACTAATTACAAGATAGCCCAATACAACTGTTCCCTAATGACCTCTTATTGGCCAACAAATCAGCCAAATTATTTGAACCCCTTGGAACCCAATGCAGTCTTTACAATCATATCCTGTATTAACCATTTAACCATCTTTAAAGCATCTCTATGAGTCCAAGCTGCTTCCATTTCGTTCCTCAGCCAGCCTATCACTATTTGAGAGTTCCCTTCCATAACCAGCCTCTCTATGTTCATCTCTTTTGCTTTTTGAACCTCTTGTAGGACGCAAGCATTTCGGCGCTTGTATAAAGGAACAGGCAACAACTTCATTAATATAAACAGAAAATATGTATACAATAGGGTCCCAAGGAGAGGTAGAAGATCTACTTTTTGACAATACAACTAATTACAAGATAAGCCCAATACAACTGTCCCCTAATGATCTCTTGTTGGCCAACAAATCAGCCAAATTATTTGAACCCCTTGGAACCCAATGTAGTCTTACAATCATATCCCTTATTAACCATTTAACCATCTCTGTAGCATATCTATGAGTCCAAGCTGCTTACATTTCATTCCTCAGCCAGCCTATCACTATTTGAGAACCACCTTACAAAACCAGCCTCTCTATGTTCATCTCTTTTGCTTTTTGAACCTCTTGTAGGACCGCAAGCATTTCAGCGCTTGTTGAGTCTCCAACTCCAACTGGACCAGAAAATAAGGCTACTACATTCCCTTCTTTGTTCTCAAACACTCCTCCAATCACCAAGGGGGCTGGGTTGCAAAATCTGCTACCTTCAAAGTTTAGCTTTAAGAAACTCTCTTCAGGTGGTTCCCACTCTTTGTAACCTCTAATTTTCCTTGTTGAAGATGCAGCTACATCCCTCTAGTTCCTTCCCAAATCATCATAAGAGTAGGGTAAGAACAAATGTGGAGCTTTGACCCAATGAATCACCATTTAAGATACACATCAATACTGATTGCAAGCTTCGCTCTTCCTCCTTTAAAAATTCTAGCATTTCTTTCTTCCCACACCATCCATAAAACAGCAGCCCTAGTACATCACAAATTCTCCCTCTCTTTCTCGGCCATCTAAAAGTTCCAACCTCAGACAAGCTAGCTTAGCTCGTAGGTGGAGTCCACTTGCACCCAAATAGTGAAGAACCAATCCCAAATAGAAGAAATGGAAAATCAAGATATTAAAATGTGAAAAGCATATTCACCATTAGCCTTACAGAGTATTCACAAATTTGGAGATATGCAAGTATTCCTTCTCTTTTGCAATATGTCTAGAGAATTGATCTTTCCATGAAAAACCTCCTAACAGAAAGCTTCAATTATTAAGGGTACCAGCTTAGGCCAAACTTCATGAACAAGGAAGGTGGAGGGAAGAGTGGTGGAGAAACCAAGACCCAGAAAAAAGAAGCATGAGAGAAAAGACCCTTAGGATTGGGTGTCCAAATCCACCCATCTGGCTTGATTGAGTTAATCACAACTTCCTCAAGGGTTTGCAAAAGCTGAACAACAAAAGAACACACATTCTCTCTCAGCCTTCTTCTAAAGCCCAAATCCCAAGTAGAACTTCCAATTCCAAAGTAGAATTTTAAAATGGGTTCTGTTTTCAAACAAGAAATAGCATAAAGAAATGGAAAAGCATCTTTCTGAGGTAACTCACCCACTCATTTGCCTTCCAAAATAAAATTTTATTTCTAAAATAAACATCATACCTGATATGACTTAGGAATTGTGGGAGGACTGCTTGAATAGCCTTCCAAGGGGGAGCCAAAGTAGCTCAAGGAGATACACCAGCATTCCAACCATTGCCACCATTCCAGGGACACTTGCCACCTCTTTATGCC